TAACTAGAAGCAATATAATATACTGTCTTGTATCTTACCTTTTTAAATCTTATAAATAATTTGATATCTATCCCAGGAAGAGTGGTAGATGTGATACATGCAAAAAATGTTAATATACTGTATGATGACAAAACCTCATTTTTTGTGCAAAAGAAAAGTTTGACGTCAGTAGATTTATGGTTTACCATGTGATTAGAAGATAAATGTTGTTAAGAAACACTGACATTTCATACTTGTGGTCCCCTCTTTTATATTGTGAACCCCAACTAATCTCTTATTAGTTAGAATTTTTCTGATGTTCTTTTTTCAAACCATTAATCATAAAGTATAACTAAAGGCAAAACTTTTTTTTTTTACTTTTGAACAGAGTGGACATGGATTGGAACATGTCAGGTTTTTATTGATGTCTGTGCCCCGTTAGGTAGCCTCACCCTCTTATTTGTCCTGTTTTCCATTATTATTGAAAGTGAAATTAAAAGAAAATCACAAATTTTGAATTGTCCCCAATAAAAGTAATAAAGGGGAAATCTCCAATGGGGACACTAGTGTTGCTGATCTGGGGGGTCCCCAAAATTTTTCTTCGTTTTCAGGGATTTTCTCTCACTTCCTGTTTGGCTATGAGACAGGAAGTGAAGGTAAATCTCTGCAAAAGGACACAGATGGCAAACAAAAAAATCTGACAGGGGTTATAACTCTCCCTTACTCTATCCAAAATGAAATAAAAAGGTTTGCCTATAGTTCTACTACTATTTATTTATTTACTTATTTATTTTTAGTGTCAAATGTGCTCTCCATTGCAATTCAGTCCCTTATTGTAGTACATGCATTACTGCGCATATTTCTACAAGTAAGATGTTCAGGAAATACTTTATGTGAGATAAACATTATTTATAAACTGTGTTGTTGTGTTACTCACATGCTTTAATTTTAAATGCACAGCCAATGCAGCCAAAACTCACATGATCTTTTTTTTATAAAAGTCGGTGCACCATAACACACAGCATCCTACCCCAATTTTGATAACCTAATTACACCATCAGAAATACTCATTTTTGTGCACAGAAACTCAGGTCAGGAGTGATGCTTATTCTGTATGTTCTCCTTTTTAAATTGTGGCTAGTATAAATTATTCATTATTATTGTCCCTTTATTATATGATGCCCCTCTAGCATGGATTTAGGAAACCAGCATTACTACAGATTGTTTCGTACACTCCAATCCTGACCCAAATTTGACAACCTATTTTGACCACCAGAAATTTTTGTGCAAAGAAATTTAGGTTAGTGGGGAAACATAACTTTTCAATGATTGCTAGTGAATAACAGTAAGCAGTATTGTAATATTGGTAGTAATTATTAATGGATGTCTTTGTTCTTTGCAAGTAAAAATCGTCAACATGCTGAAAAAATTGTGCATGTCTGAACATATCATTCTCAACCTTATTTCTATCCATTGGGCAGTGGTGTCATTAGGGTTGATGTCACTTGGTGCAGTAAAACATGGTGTCACCCCCCGCCAATAGATTTATAATTGCCCCACAACACCCCCCCCATTATAATTACTTCACACATCTGGTACATATATCTCCATGCATTAACTTCCAATTGTAATAACCCTGCAACCTCTTCTGCCCCATTATAAATACCCTGAACCCACCGGCCCCAATCATAACTACCCCACATTGCATCTAATTACTCCCCCCCCCACACACACACACACTTCATAGTTCTAAGTACCCCACCATGCTCTCCATTTATATTTTCCCCCATTACAATTACATACCCCCCATCATTAATCCCCCACTCCACTACTACAATTAACCCATGGCACTTCCCCCCGTCAAATTAAAATGATCCTGTAATTCTTCCCCCACCCTGTTATAATTACCCCACATTCCCCCTGCCTGTTATAATTGCCCCACACCATCCCCCCATTCTTACACCTCACATATCCTTCTCTGTTACATATAATTCCCCTGCAGCCCCCCATTCCCTTCAATTATATTTACCATCCCCCCACACAATTATAATTCTCCTGCAGCCCCCAAATTATAATCCCCCTCCCTTAATTATAATTCCCTTGCACCCCCCTCCCTTTAATTATAATTTCCCTGTAGCCACCCCTTGAATTATAATTACCCTCTCCTACACAATTGTAATTCCCCTACAGCCCCCTCCCTCTAAAATTTTAATCCCCCTGCACCCCACAATCTCACATTGAATACAATTTCCCTGCACCTCCTCCTCCAGGAACGTCTCTCACCTGTCCCAAGGAGGACATCACTCGGTCCAGCTCCAGCTAGTAAACAACCACCCATTACCAGGACAACTGGGGAGCACATGTCATGTGTTGATGTCACTACGTTCAGGAGGAGTGAGCCGGATTTGTCCTGCTATGGGGGTAGAGGAGGCGAGGCGAACAGAGAACCGACCATTCATGTCCTCCCTCTTCAGAGGTCGCTGCCCCTCCTCCAGGGTTGTCACCTCATTCCAGTCATAACCCAAAGTTTACCTACTTGACGGTGTCACCCCTATGTTGCCTGGTTGCGGTCTGCACCCCCATAGTGACGCCACTGCCATTGGCCAAAGCAAAGCAACACACATGTCTGTGCCAGTTTTAGTCTATTAGTGGAATCACAAGTTTCAGCATAACAAGTCTTGATGGGTTTAGTATTAAGCATGTATATTTCCACCCATCATCCTTGGGGAAGCATTGGCAAGTTTATGGCCAATATATGTACTGTAGCTATAATTATTCGTTATTCGTAAATATGTGGTTTCTATTGTCCTTTGCCCATTCTAGTATTCAAGTGGAGTCAAAAGCTTCAGTACAGTTCAGGTCTTGATGCATTCAGTGATAATCAAGTGTATTGGTTTGAATGAGTTCAATAGTAAGCAAGTGTATTCCAACCCATAATTCCTGCCAGTTTATGACCAGCCTATGATTTGGTTTACCTGGGTATACTGAGTCATTATTTCTAAATAGATGTTTCCTACTGTCATATTGCCTTGGTATGAACACACTAGTATTATGATCCACTGGGACATGCCATTTTATCAGCTTGGCTGAAAACAGTTGTGGTAAATGATCAGGGAAAATATTACAATTAAGAGAAACCAGGGCTGCAATTGCCATCAGGCATTGTGGGCCTCTGCAGGAGAAGTATGTAAACAATTTTTTTTCATGTATAATTACCCAGGTCTGCAAAAATTTTTTTTTCAAGAGCTGTTTTGGTTATTCCACATAATCTTTATGTTTTTTGGTGCGCTGAATCCGAAAATGACCTCCATTTTGTCATAGGACATCACGTTTCCTGACAATTTAGGTAATTATGTTAAATAAGGCAATACCTCAAAATAAATGGAAATAGACTTATAAAATTAAAGTTTTATTACAATTTTTTCATAAAAAATCCTTTTTTGAACTGAAATGAGCTCACCTACACACACTAAACTCGATTCTTCTTCCCTGTGAGGCTCCTCTTGGTGCATTTACACTTGTGAGTAGCATCTGGAATGTCTCTCTGAAGCATCCAACAGTAGTCTGCCATCATTGTAATGATCCATTTTCCCTGGTATCTCCTTTCCATCTCTTTAATGTCTTGGTGGAATCGTTCACCTTGTTCCTCACTCACAGCTCCCAAATTTTCAGGAAAGTAGTCAAGGTGGGACTGGAGGAAATGCACTTTCAAACTCATGAGGCAACCTAAAGCTTGAAATGCTTTCAGCGTTCATCCGACGATATTTTTGTAGTGAGGATCTTTGTTATTGCCTAAAACTTTCTGTACGACTTCTTTAAATGCAATCCACCCTTCTTTTTGAGGATCCATCATGGTATTGACAAACTCTTGATCAACTATAAGCCTTCAAATATCTGGTCCGACGAACACACCTTCCTTCAATTTTGCCTCCGACAGGTCACTTGGTGACCAAGTATTTGAAGCATTCTCCATCTCTTGGAAGTGATTTTACGAATTGCTTCATCAATCCCAATTTTGTGTGGAGAGGTGGTAGAAGAACTTTATGGGAAGGTACCAAAGTTTCTCGAAGGACATTTTTTTCACCGACTGTTAGCACCCTCGGCTGCCAACTCTTCTTGGTCCAGTGATTTTGTGTCTCCCTCCCACTGGATTCTTCAGGAAAGATTAACCCCTTCTACCATTAGAAGCACAGACTCAGGGCTGAGGCTTACACATACAGCATGCTGCTGAGTATCCCAGTAGTCAGACATGTCACTCAGAGCAGCACTTGTATTCACCCCCTTTGCAGGGGGGGAGGGGCAGAGATTGTTTACCAGCAAATAACAACAAAGGACCAGAAGAGAACTAGGGAAATGAGGAAATAGATTTTTTTTTCCCTAAAACTTGCTTAGCTTATGTATATATTGCTGACCATCAGATTTACAGTGCTATATTTTTTTTTACATAACTCGGACAACCACTTTAAGGTTTTTTTTGCATTTTATATCTTAACCACTAGCCTACAGGGCACTTATACCCCCTTCCTGCCCAGGTCAATTTCCAGCTTTCAGCGCTGTTACACTTTGAATGACAATTGCGCGGTCATGCAACATTGCACCCATATGAAAATTTTTATAATTTTTTTTGAGACAGATAGAGCTTTCTTTTGGTGGTATTTAATCACCTCTGGGATTTTTATTTTTTCTTAAACAAACCAAAAACCACTTAAAATTTTGAAAAAAAAATAGTTTTTTCTTAGTTTTTGTTATCCAATTTTGTAAATAAGTGATTTTTCTCCTTCACTGATGTGCGCTAATGAGGCTGCAGTGATGGACACTGATGAGGAGGCACTGGTAGGTTGCACTGATGGGCATTGACAGGCATCACTGATGGGCACTGAAAGGCAGCACTGATACATGACACTGATACATGACACTGATATATGGCACTGATATATGGCACTGATAGGCAGCACTGACTGGCATTGATAGGCGGCACTGACTGGCACTGATAGGCGGCACTGACTGGCACTGATAGGTGGCACTGACTGGCAGCACTGATATGTGGCACTGATTGGCGTTGATAGGTGGCACTGACTGGCACTGATGGGTGACATTGAAAGGCAGCTCAGATGGGCACTGATATGTGGCATTGATGTGCACTGGTATGCACTGATATGTGGCACTGATGGGCACTGGCACGTGGCACTGATGGGCACTGGTACGTGGCACTGATGAGCACTGACAGGTGGCACTTCTGGGGCCACACTGATCATCAGGGCACACTGATCATCAGTGCCCTGATGATCAGTGTATGTGTCCCCTCCACGGAAAGCCGATTACCGGCTCTCCTCTCCTCTCGAGCTGTCAGTGTGACAGCTCGAGAGGAGAGAAATGCCGATAACCGGCATTTCCCTATTTACATGTGATCAGCTGTGATTGGACACAGCTGATCACATGACTGAGCCGACATCTTCGGCTCTTTCCGTGATGCGCTGTGTCCGAGGGACACAGGGGACCGGCGATCGACGCACTGCGTGCTCCCTGAGCCGCGCATGCGCAGTGAGAATGGTAGGACGTCATATGACGTCCTATCAGAACGAGAGAACCACCTGGCACCCGTCATTGTACTATAGGGCGGGCGGAAGGTGGTTAAATGCACTTATGTGAATTAATTAATAGTAATTTGGACTTTAAATTTGGTTAAAAAACCCATAATATAAAAGAAAAACCAAAAATTTTAAAAATTTGATAAATTTGAAGACAATTTTGTATTTTGTGGCAAATCATGACGTCTAGGAGTTTTTTCAATATTTTATTTGTTTTCAGCACACCAAAATACATGGAAATTAGATGAAAATAATCAAACAGGTTTTTAGTCGCAGACCTGTGTTATTGCCCATACATTTAATTTTTTTCTCATTAATATAAATAGTCATATAAGTTACATTTTGAAACAATATTCAAAGCTAGGTTACAACCAATAAACATTAAAAGGGCTTTATAATAATGTTGCTTTGGGTATCGATGATGGTCTGTCTACAGTCTCCAATGATGGATCTGACAGCAAGCTATTGCTAGTGTTTATCAGCAATTTCACATAAAGTTCATTCTGGGCTCTGCCAAATAGAGCAATTATTTTTAGTGTCCACAGTACTGTTGAAAGGTCTCATTCTACGCAGCTCCTTATCATATAATAGGCTGGGGATTTCAGTTAAAGGTGCTCATCAGCTGTACACCTCTTCTGAATATTAGCAAAGGAAACTCGAATTTAAAAATAAATGCTTATGTCATATGATTATAGTCCTATCCAAATGCCTGATTATTTATTTCCAAAATCCACATTAATACTAAAAAAACTAGGTATGGTTTGCATTTTTTCAAATAGAATGAATGAATGGTTGCAATTCAAACCTCAGACATGCAAATGTACTGCAAAAAGATCTTATAAATTAGAAATTTTACCCCGGACTGTCTATGTGACACCACTTGTCACCCATCCCAAAATTTAACACCCCTACTATGTTGATAGAAACTGTGAGAAGCATATATTAGGTGTAAATTACACTAACTGACCGGAACTCACAGACCTTAACACATAATTTCTTTAAAAGCCCCTTTTTTCAGCTTTCTTACCTGAACATGCTGATCAGAGGTGGCTGTCTATAAACATATTGTATATCTGAACCTACATATTCATTTTTCTATTTTTTTTTAAAATGTGTATTTGTGAATGCAGTCATAGGCGTGTGCACAGGGTGTGCTGGGTGTGCCTGGGCATACCCTAATCACCTCGTGTGGCACATATTTTATGTAATTTACTGGCCCCTTCCTTTTCTGAATGAACACAGAGAGTTTTTTTTTGCTATTTAGCACTGCACTAATTTAACTAGCAATTGCTCAGTCATACAACACTGTGCCCAAATGAAATTTATATTACTTTTTTTTCACACAAAAAAGCTTTCTTTTGGTGGTATTTGATCACCCCTGGGTTTTTATGATATAAACAAAATGTATACATTATGTTATAAAACATATCCAACAAAATAAATTTAGACCAAAATGTATTCTGCTATATGTCTTTGGTAAAAAAATTCCAATGAGTGTATATTAATTGGTTTGTGTGAAAGTTATAGTGCCTACAAACTATGGTTTATATTTATATATTATATGGTGTATATTTGAAAATGGATCAGTCCAGATGTACTGATGATCTCATTTCTTGTAGCCCTAAAATGCCAGAACAGTACAAGTACCCCCCCAAATGACCTTTTTTTGGAAAGTAGTCTGACGTATTTAATAATAGGCATGGCAAGTTTTTTTTTGAAGTTGTGACTTGTCACAATTCTTGGGAAAATAAAGAAAAATAAATTTTTTTTTTTTTTTTTCACAATTTTTTTTACATACTGTCACTAGTGTAGGGAGGTGCCCCCCAACTGTCTGGACTCTTATGATATAGCTGCGTTTATGGTTCCTGCATTACACTATCAGAGCTTCTGGCCTGTGGCTCTCTTATTATGGAGGGAGCCCGGGTTTTTGAAGGTGCTTGATTTTTCCTGGTTCCCGACTGACGTGGTGGATAAATCCCTCCAATGGCTGATGTACACTTCTGGGATCTCTGTCCTGCTGTCCTGGGAACATGACATCTAGTAGCGAGAGATAAGATGACATCATCCTTTCCAGTGGCTTCCTTCTCAGAGTACCAGGAGTAGGTCTTAATTACTCTATGCTCCATGTGCTCAGACATCTGGTTAGTGCAAGCTACTCTCAGTTCTTTACCACAAGAGTCACAAACTTTCTTCTGGTTTTTCAATCGTGGATGCACCACAGAAGTCACAAGTTTAATATTTTAATGTTTTCTGTTTAATTATACGATTAAGTTATTATTTAGCATATGAGCGCTGCATATTTTCTATGGTCAATGTCACTAGTGTAGAACTGTGTAGAACAGTGTCATCGTGTGACTAGTGTTACGGTGATCAGGGATATTGACTTATGACAGTACGCTAAAAAAATAAAACATTTTTTATTAAATTTTTCAACATTTTTTAAAATCACTTTTTCTTTTTTCACATCCATTTTTTTTACAACCTGTCACCATAGTGTCACTGTACTACTCTGGGGGGGGGGGGGGGGGGGGGGGGGGAGTGATCAGGTTTTTTTTTTTTATACTTTGATTGCTGTTACAGTGATAATCAATAAAACAGCAATATTTTGAACTGAACTTCAATCATAACATCTACGCTTGGTATTGTGGTCACATAGTACAGGGTGCTGTGATTAGTCCACTGTGTAGCTGTGGGCTACTCACAGCATCACAAAACTTAGCACAACTGTTAGGAACGAAACCCATTCATAACAGTTGTGGTGACACTGAGACCATTATTATGATTATACAGTATTTATATAGCGCCAATAGTTTGCTCAGCGCTGTACATTACAGTGGGAGACAGTACAGTAACAATACAATGCGATACACGAGGGGTTCGAAGGCCCTGCTCCTTGGAGCTTACAATCTAGGAGGGAGGGGGAGAGTGGTACAGGAGGAAATAGATGTGGAGGATGGAGTGGTGGGAAAAGCAGAGGAGATCAGCAATTAGGTGAGGGCGGGGTAGGCTTCTCTGAAAAGATGGGTTTTCAGGGTGCGCCTAAAGGTGAGGAGGGTAGGTGACAGTCTGATGGATTGGGGTAGCGAGTTCCAGAGGATGGGGGAAACCCTGGAGAAGTCCTGGAGATGGGCATGAGAGGAGGAGACCAGGGAACTGGAGAGTAGGAGGTCTTGTGAGGAGCAGAGAGTGCGTGTGTTGGGTGGTAGATGGATATCAGGTCAGTGATGTAGTTTGGGGCAGTGTTATGAACAGCTTTGCATGTCAATGTTAATATTTTGAATTTTATGCGTTGGGCAATTGGAAGCCAGTGGAGGGATTGGCAGAGGGGGGAGGCGGATACGGAGCGGTTGGTGAGGTGGATGAGTCTGGCTGCAGAATTCAGGATAGACTGAAGTGGGGACAGGGGCGGACTGACATCTCATGAGGCCACCGGGCAATAGGGGATCATGGGGCCCCTGTGTCCTTGCCCAAACTCAAAATAGCCTATGAAAAAGGTACCAGGGGCATCTCATGGGGCCCCCTACTGACTCGGGCCCTCAGGCAGTGCCCTAGTTTCCAGATGGTCAGTCCACCCCTGAGCGGTAATAGCCTGTGTTGGGGTAGGCCGGCGAGGATGGAGGGAGTTGCAGTAGTCAAGTCGTGATATGATTACGGAGTGGATGAGTTGCTTTGTGGTTTCTGGAGTTAGGAACGTGCGTATTTTGGAGATGTTGCAGAGGTGGAGTCTGCATGAATTTGTCAGTGATTGGATCTGGGGCTGGAAAGACAGATTGGAGTCTAGAATGACACCTAGTACTTTGGCTTGCGGGGTAGGGCTGATGGTGGCGTTGTTGGTCGTTATGGAGAGGTCGGGAGGGGGGGGGGGGGGCGCGGGCTGGAGGGAAAACTAGGAGCTCGGTTTTGGCAAGGTTTAGTTTGAGGAAGTGGAGTGACATCCAGTCTGATATGTCGGTGAAGGCTAGTGATTCGGGTGGAGACTGAAGGGGTGAGGTGAGGGGTGGAGAGATTGATTTGAGTGTCATTGATAGAGATGGTAGTTGAAGCCGTTGGAGTGTATCAGTTGACCAAGGAAAGAGGTGTAGATGGAGAAGAGAAGGGGCCCGAGGACAGAACCTTGGGGGACCCCAACAGAGAGGGGGAGTGAGGGGGAGGGGTGGCAGTGTTATAGGTAACACTGAAGGAGCGTTGGGATAGATAGGAAGAGAGCCAGGAGAGAGCGGAGTCTCTGAGGCCAAAAGAGTATAGCACATGACATCCTGGCCGCTCAAAGCAGCCATTTACCACCATCCACAATCCGCTGTGTCTGGTATCCACCAGTGCGTACTTTCTAAGCGGGTACGCCACTTAACCTACCAGTGCTGCCCACCTGCAGTATATGTGGGAAGTGGTAAATAATTTTACAATGTTTGTTTACATTTATTTAAAAGAGAGTGTGTGCATGTGTGTTTGAGCTTTGGGGTGTATACCCTAATGTTATAGGCTTCACGCATCTATGGATGCAGTACAACTTTTCTTATTCTCTGCTCTGACTGTAAAATTCAGGTGTGCTAATTCATGTACTTCCCTTATCATTTCTCTTATTCTCTGCTTTCAGGGGCTGATTTACAATGGAGATTGGGCATTGCAATTTACTCTCTGCTATTCAATGTTAGATTACTCAGCAGCATAGCTTGCATTTTGCGGCCTGTGGTAGCTCTCGGAGTTCTTTCTATTTAATGCAACAGAGGGAAATCCATGACTGAGGAAATGTAACCTGACAGTGGCAGACCATGTGACCAGTCTCTCCTCCCTGCTTTTTGGTATTTTCTGATCTTCCATTCAGTTGTATAGCACTAGATGGTGTCAGACTACAGCAAGACCTTAGGAAACAGAATGAAAAATAAAACATTTTAAAAGGGGACTTTTTTAGAGGCAGCAAACTTCATTC